CTTCTTCTTCTTCTTCTCCTTCTTCTCCTTCTTCTCCTCCTTCTTCTCCTCCTTCTTCTCCTCCTTCTTTCTCCTCCTTCTTTCTCCTCCTTCTTCTTCTTCTTCTTTCTCCTTCTTCTCCTTCTCCTTCTCCTCCTTCTCCTTCTCCTTCTCCTTCTTCTCCTTCTCCTTCTCCTTCTTCTCCTTCTCCTTCTCCTTCTCCTCCTCCTCCTCCTCCTTCTCCTCCTTCTCCTTCTCCTTCTTCTTCTTCATTTTTTTAACATTTTTTATTGATTTATAATCATTTTACAATGTTGTGTCAAATTCCAGTGTAGAGCACAATTTTCAGTTATACATGAACATATATATATATTCATTGTCACAGTAACCCATTTCTAATGAACAGAATATGAAAAGGGAAACACAGTAACTTTGTGGTGAAGAAACTTGGCAGACACTACTTTAACCAAGTGATCAAAGTTAACATCTCCAGTAATAAATCATGTTACCACGTACTCCCTGATACGATAAGATGAGAAAGGCTCAGCACTTCTGTGATAGTCTCCCGACAAAGCATCATCTCATGGGAAACATGAGACAAACTCAAACGGAGGGAAATCTACAACATACCTGACCACTACTCTTCAAAGTTTCAATGTCACGAAAGACAAAGAAAGATCAAGAAACTGTCCCATATTGGAGAAGACCAAAGAAACATAAAGCTAAATGCAAGGTGGTATCCCCAGCTGGATTATGAAACCAAAAAAAGAAAAAAATAAGTGAATAAATTGCAGAAATCTGAATAAAGTCTGTAGTTTGTTGAACAGTACTGTGCTGATTTAATTTCTTAGTTCTGATAAATGGTTACGTAAGATGTTAACATTAGGGGACATGGTTACATAAGATGTTAACATTAGGGGATGCTGGGCTAAGAATATATGCGAACTCTCTGTACTGTCTTCACAACTCTTGTGTAAAACTAAAATTGAAAATTTAAAAAAAGAAAAATATTTTTGTTTAGTGATAATTACTGACATGTTATGAATCTGTGCTATTTAAATAGTTTGCAACAAGGTAGGTGTAGTGAAATTGCTGAGATATTATAAATCTTACAAGGCTATACTTTGTAATGAAAATCATGCATACAAAAAGAATAAGCAATTCATCTGTTTTCCAAATACTTATCAGAGTTCTTTTGTTCACTTGATGGAGTGAATATTTAGTATTTTGAGAATTATTTTCTAAGGCAGAAAGCTGAGGCAAGTGCAGTGTTACCTTGTCTAGCTTGTCCCTAGAATGAGTAAGGTTGACATTCTCTCCCCTTTTTACCAAGCTACTGCATCACTACAAATGGGAAAGACAAGATAGTGGTTTCAAGCACTCCCTTGGCCAGGTGAAAAAAAGAATTAGTGTTTCTTTCCTCCTGCAGACCTCACCAGTCTCATGTATACATTTAGCTCTTCTCTGGTCATCTTAGTAGGGTCATGGGAAGGAAAAAGGGAAAGCTGAGTGATTTCTGTACACGAAGCATGAGTAATTGCAAAATTACAGAAGTGAAAGGAAGTTGAAGAGAACAGAAACTGGCCATGAATTAACTACAAGGCTTCTAAATAGAATGCACAGTTTAGATGTAGTTCAATTTCTTAGCAGTCTGTCCAGAATTACATTCAAGCAACCTGCCCTGACTCCTCCCACTCTCCAAAGCTGGTGAATGATGATATGAAAGAGTTAGCAGGCAAAAGATAAGTACACTGCTTAAGTGTTGTTATGGGATAAATTGTGGATTTACTGTACTAGGTGCTATAATTATAATGGTGGGGTTAAAAATGCTTAGTATATCAGTAAGGAAGGTAACGGTGGCATACTTAAAGGTCATGTATGATCTCTAAAAAGTTACCTGTGTCATAGTGGGCCTGTCAAGCAAAGATCATCTAACATAACTTTGAATGTCTTAATCCTTCAACAAATTCCAGGGCCTACCGTAGACCTAATGAATCAAAACCTCTGCAGTGTGAAGCCTAGGATTTTTTAAAAATCTCATCTGATTCCAAAGACTATCCAAGACTGAGAACCACTAAGGCAGAGCTTTTACAGGTAAGAGTGTACTGAATAAAACCACTGGTACATTGGGGTGGGGGGTATTCAAGGAAAGATTATAAATGAGATTATGTATGTGAAGCTTTGTAAACTACAAAAGACAGTAACCGGAGGGCAATGTTATGCACAAAAGCATCACATGGACTGCTGGTGCTGGCGAGATCGTAGGAACTTGAGGTTCAGTAAGGTTAATGTAACTTTTTTCAAAGTTAGCTAGTAAAGCAGGCAAAACACATATGGTGTTATTAAAAAAAGTGCCAAATGAGTGTTAGAGACATAAAATGTATGAGAGCTTTGGAGGGAGGTTACAGTGTGCTAGGAAGGCCAGGAAAGACTTCATGGGGAGTTGGGTCCTGAGGGACGATTAAGAGTCATATTAGTCATGCAGGGGGAGGGGGAACTGAGGAAAGAGGTAGAGGGAGGAATGCACAAGGCAGGCTTGCGGGGGTGTGAGGTGACCTGTGAGACTGGAGCAGAAGGATCAAGCAGAGGAGTAGCAGGCGAGAGAACGGTGGTTGGAGAAAACTTGGGAAGGGCCTTAAATCCCAAGCTAAGGAGTTGAGAGTATCTTGTAAGTAGAGAGGATTCAAAGGTTTCTAAGTAGTGTACTGTAGAAATAGGTGGAAGGTGAGAGTCTAAATGCAGGGTCCTTGAATCCAGAGGGTCTACAGACAGAGGCTAAAAGCAGGAGGCTACTGAGATGTTCTAGGTACCTTCCAGTAACAGTCTGAGAATGGAGAAAACCAGATGCTACAGGAGGAAGTGACAGTTCTTGGAATCTTTGTGGGAATCCAAGGAGAGAGAAGAAGCCACCACTGTGAGCCTGGGATACTGGGAGTATGATAACACCACTGGCAGAAACTGGAGGCCAGGTTGGAAGGAAAGGAGATTGGTTTGCAGTAGAAGGGAGCAGTGTCACAGCACTTTACAGGGAAAATGTACACAACTCACCTTCATGTCCTCAAAATCTGTTATCCCCATCTGAGGGAGATTTGAGCAGTTTACATGGATGAGCTTTCGGCCACTGATGAAGTTTGTTGTAAAACACTCCTGTCAGTACAATGAGAATATCACTCAAAAGATGTATGGCAAATACAGGGAGAAAAGAAAGCAAGACAGAGGAAGGAAGAAGGGAAGGAAGGAAAGAGGGAGGGAGGAATAAATAAATGTTTGTCTCTAGTTCTGTACTGAGAAAATTTTTTGATTTTAAACTTAAAAATAATCCTAATAATCACACATATTACCCATCTAAACTCTTGATTAAATTTTATACTGCTGCTTAAAAAAATTTTTTTTGAGTATGATACAACCAGTACTTCTTTCATGCCTCAACTACAGTTTTAAGTACAGGAGTACCAAAGATTTCAGTCCTTGTGTTGTTTGTGGCAGCCTAAGAATATAGTTGGCACCAGTGAAATAAAAGGATTCACCCTACCTTTCTTTTAGTAAAACTATTCTTGGTTGATATAAGTTAGTACTGTTAGGTGCTCATGATACATATAACATATTTGAAACAGACACTTAAGATTAATAGTACAAGTTCAGGTTAAAGGAGCTGCTACTAAAACCTGACAAAGTACCAAAAAGTCTACCTTGGTTGAAACGTTTTTAAAAATACAGATTTCTATGAAAAGAAGCCTATATCAATGTTTTAGTCTTTATTAAAAGGATTGCAGAGAAGTATAATCACTGTGATGAATAGAGAAAACAAACAAATGTGACCTTTCCTTCCTCTCCCAAAATACAAATATACATCAGTGGAAAGGCCAAAATTAGAGTCCAAGTTATCTCTACCATGGTCCATGACTCTTCTATAGTCCTTCTAGTTAAGAGGAGGCCAAAGGTCAGGTAAGGGTAGAGGAATAAGAGGAAGAAGGATGAGAGTATAGATCTCAAAAAGTGTCACTTTTTGTATACCTTGTATTGAGGGAAGCCTAGCTGGCTAATCCACTCTGCAACTTTCTCTGGGCTCCATTTAAGATACTCAAATTGTAGGTCAGTTTTTTTGCAGGGCTGGGCTTCTTTATCTTCATGTTTCATCAACTCTGAGGACAGATCTACAACTCTCTTTTCACTAGGGGACCCTTTTAAATCCCTCTGAGACTCAGAGAAATATGAGTATAATTCATAATTGGTATCAGAAAGCTGAAATACATTTTGGAGTTCTTTAGAAAACTCATAATCTATATTCCCTGAGTCTGCTTCACTTACTGAAAGAGACCCTGACCCAGAGTCTTTTGACACTTTTTTAGTTTCTTTTACTAACAACTTTCTTGTTTGATAATCAGAGTGCTCTAGCTTGTCTTTGTCTACAGAATGCTTAAATTTGATTGGTTCTGGCCTATCTTCGCTGGCAAATTCTACGTGGGTCTTTCTTCTAAGAAGTGGTTTGGCTTTATATGGTAACTCTAAATCTGTCTCCTCATTTGGCTCTGTTTGTGTCTTCTCTTGCATCTCTGGTTTGGTCTTCTCTGGTGGCACTTGACCTATTTCCTCAGTTGACTTTCTTGGTTCTTTCTTTGGAAACTCTGGTTTAGTCTGTTCTGGTGGCTCTGGACCTTTCCCGTCAGTTGACTGTCTTAGTGTCTTCTCTGATTTGGACTTCTGTGATGGTGCTAGTCCTGTCTCCACTGTTGATTTTTTCTGCTTATCTTTTTGATCTGCTGGTTTAGTCTCCTCTGGTAGCTCTAGAACTTTCTCCACAGTTGACTTTCTTTGTGTCTCACCTTGAACTTCTGATTTGGTCTTTCCTGATGGCTCTAGAACTGCTTCTTCAATTGGTTTTCTTGATTTTTCCTCAGAAAACTCTGATTCAATCTCTAGTGGCTCTGGAATTTTCTCTTCAGTTGACTTTCTCTGTATTTCCTCAGTAGACATACTTAGTTTCTCTTCTGGAAACTCTGGTTTGGCCTCCCCAGGTGGTTCTGTCCTATTCTTAGGTGACTTACTTTGTGTCTTCTCTGTAATCTCTGCTGTGGTCATCTTTGATGGCTGTAGACCTGCCTCTTCAATTGATTTTCTTGGTTTTTCACTTGGAAATTCAGGTTTGGTCTTCTCTGCAGGTTCTAGACCTGTCTCTTTATATTGCTCTCTGAGTGATTCGTCTGGAACCTCCTGTTTGGTCTCCTCTGTTAACACTAATCTTGTCTCACTGATTGCTGCCCCTGGAACCTCAGACTTGGTTTCCTTTGGTAGATCTAGCTCTGTTTCCTTAGCTGACTGTATGAGTACATCCTCTGTAACATCTGGCTTGGCTTCCTCCTCTTGGTCCTCAAGCTTTTCATCCACAGGGATCTCCAAATCCTTGAAAAACTCACCTCCTATCTGTCTGGATGTCTCCAACTCTACCTCTTGGGGAATCCCTAACTCAGTATCGCTATAAAGGTCTGTCTTGGACTTGTTGAGAATCTCTTCCTCAGTTGTTTTGGTTGGTTTTAGGTATGGGTATACATCCTTAGCATTCTCTGGAGCCTCTTTAAAGTCCTCTTCCTCCGTCTCTGGCTGTGGCTCGTCGTCAGTTTCTACAGGAAGCTCTGGACCTGCTTCTGCCATGGTGTCTGGTTCGGCATCTTTAGTCGTCATAAGAGAGTCAGGCAGTTTTGGTCCTTCAGACTGCAGGTCTTCTTCTTCACCCGGGCCGGAATCATAATCTTCTGGGACTTCAGCCATGACGCAGATTAGCCAACGCGCCCAGGCCTCCTAGCAACCCCAACTTCCGATAGCGTCTCCATGGATACCACGACTTCCGGCCGGGGTTCACGGACTCTTCTCAGGTTTTGTTTGTTCTTTCAACCCTTGACTTTAAAAACCTGCGATCATAAGCACGCAGTAGCCCTCCCCGAGCCCACGTGGCCAGCCTCCGCCGGCCAGAGCTCCCGCGACCGCTCCAGGCCCGAAGCGCTGCCCTTTCCGGCCCTCGGGCTCCGCTCGGCTCTTCCCGGCGCGCTCGGCCTTCGGCTGTTTCCGGAGCCACTGGCGGCGCGCGGTAGAGGCGCTCTCCGCGCGGGCTGCAGATGTCGGACCGGCGGACGGCTGAGAGGCCGGGCGTCTGGAGCCCCGCAGCCCGCCGAGGGTCGGCGCGCGGCGTCGGGGA